GTGTGTGCATGTTTGTCCCAGCAACCAAAAAAAAAAAAAAAAGTTTTAGCCAGAGAGACAGAGGAGTATGTCATCCACTCCTACAGCAAGTCTGCTTAGGAAGAAGTTACATGAAGACCTCAGCATTGCTTTTTCCTGTGATTATTTTAAAGGCCACAATACAGATTTTCCACCCAATGGCAATGAATTTCAAAGACTAATGTTAGGTTTGGCCTCAGAGCAGCTGGGAGCAATTGCTGCTCAGCTCCACAAAGGAAGTGGTTCTGTTTTATCTTATAAAATAAAGTGGTATTGTTTTATTTCTTTTCCTTCTTCTATCTTTCCTTTCTTACCCTCCCTTCCTGCCATCCTTCCAACCAGAAAATCACTCATACTCTCCAGAAACAGGAAGTTGGTGGGAAGGTGGATGGGGGCCGAGTCTACAGAGCTCCAAGCTAAGCCCAGAGAATCCCCTCTCAGGTTAATAGGGAGGAGGAAACAGCTTTGACTCTCTTGGGAGGCCTGGAGAGGTCTTTCCAATGGACCTCTCCCACCTGTTAACCTACCAAGATTCTCTGAGCTTTGATGGCTGGAGTTCGTTTGCAAATGTTGCAGACTCTGGACCTGCCACATCTCGTTCTTGGCCATTATCAGTCAGCATCTCCGGGTGTCTGCTGGCCCATGTGCTTCCTGTTCAGTAACAGTAGGACAGGCTGTAGCTGGAGTCTACTTCCGCTAAAACACTGGTCAAGCATTCATTGATTCATTGAGTTTACACATATTGATCGAGACCTACAGATTCTGGCCACTAGCATCATGGTTAAAGCAAGAGTTTTAGACTAAGAGCTGGGGACAAGACTCTGTTCTATGACATCTAAACTGTGTGGTCTTGGGCAAGTGCCCACTCTCTGTGCCTCAGTTTCCTCATCTGTAAAATAAGTGATAACAGTCCCTACTTTGTTGGCTTTTATGGGGATCGAATGAGTGTGTGTTGTGTTTGCTGCACACAAGGCACCTCTTTATTTTCAGTCCATGACGTACCGTTTGTAGGGGACTTTGCCTGTAGTCCACCCAGTCTCTATACCCTCCTTCTTCCGTCCCAGCAGAATTCTAAGTTGGTTTAGGTATCTGCCCATTCCCAGCTCCAGGAGTCAATTGTGATTGTTGATGTTGTTCTTAGGCATTGTCGAGTCAGCACTGACTCATAGTGACCCCATGTACAACAGAACAAAACACTGCCCAGCCCTACACCATCCTCAAAACCCTTGCCTTGCTTGAGCCCATCATTGCAGCCATTGTGTCAATCCATCTCAATGAGGGTCTTCCCCTTTTTGCTCTCTACTTTACCAAGCATAATATCCTTCTCCAGGGACTGGTCCCTGTCCCTTCTGACAACATGACCAAAGTACAAGAGATGAACTCTGGTCACTCTCACTTCTAAGGCACATTCTGGCTGCACTTCCTCTAGGACACATTTGTTTGTTCTTCCACTAGCCCATGATACTTTCAGTATTCTTTGCCAACACCACAATTCAAAGACATCAGTTCTTCTTTGGTCTTCCTTATTCACTGTCCAACTTTTACATACATATGAGGCAATTGAAAATACCATGGCTTAGCTTAGGTGCACCTTAGTCTTCAAAGTGACATCTTTGCTTTTTAACACTTTAAAAAGGTACCTTGCAGCAGAGTTGTCCAGTGCAATTCTGCTTAGTCTAAACCAATGGTTCTCAAAGTGTGGTCCCTGGACCAGCAGCATCAGTATCATCTGGAAACTTGTTAGAAATGCTACAATTGCAATGCAGTTAATATGTGTCACATGTCTGTGATGTACCCAGCATTATATAAAGCAATTCACACCCATGACCTCAATTAACCCTCAAATATATAGGTTCTATTATTTTCTTCTTTACACATTTGAGGAAGTTGATGTTCAGAGAGTTCAATTCATTTACCCAGGGTCACACAGCCAAGAATGGCAGAGTTGGGACTGAACCCAGGTCCGCCAGACTCCAGGGCCCAGGTATGTAACTACTATACAACCAATCTCTGGAGAAACTGCCAGCTATTGGGGGGAAAGTCCAGGAAAGAGCTGAAGAAAGCAGTCAGAGAGTATAGTGGTTCAGAAGGTGCACTGCTGGAGTGGTGGCTAGGCCCTGAGCAGGGTCATAAACCCCGCCCGAATTTACAGAGATGGAGTCAGACGGACTTGACAGAAACTGGAATTTCTTCCTTAAGATCCAAGTTTAACAGTTTGGAGGACTGTGGCTTCATGCTGCAAGAATCTCAGACTTGTCAAGCATAGTCTAGCAAAAATAAGTGCAACATAAACGAGGCAGTGGACCATCCAGGCCAGGAAGGTAACAAACAAGAAAAACAGTGAGAGCCCACTGGCATTCCAGACCATGCAAATTCCCATCTTGTTTGCAGATCCACTTCATGTCATGTTTCAGCCTGGGCTTCCCTAGAACAGACTCCAGGACAAGAATTCTAGTTCAAATCATCTATTTAGGTAGTGATCCTGGGAAGCAGTGTGAGGGGAGTGGGGAGGGAGGTGGGGGAGGAAGGCAGACATTTCAGAGTGCACTCATAGACAGGTGCCCTCATGGACTGCAATTGAGAGATGACCCACGTAGGGCAAGAAACTGGGGTCTTATCTACTAAGCTTGCCTGGTGTTTGTTGAGGCTGCCCCAGC